TCCCTGGAACTGGAGTTATGGGTGCTTGTGAACCACCCCATGGGTGCTGAGAGCCAAACCCAGGTCTTCTGCAAGGGCAATGACTGCTCTTAACCACTGAGCCATCTTTCTGGCTCCTGTGTTCAAATTTTTAAAGCTTTATTTATTTTGCTCACAAGCACGTGTGATGTGGATGCACACGTATGAGACACCTTATGGGAGTCGTGTTCTCCTTCCTACATGTGGATCCCAGGGGATGAAATCAGTGGTCAGGCATAGCAGCTAGCACCTACAATCACTGACCTGTCTCCTCAGTCTAGATGTGAGTCTTCAAGGATCACCTTTAGTTGCAAGAAGAGATTAACCGAGGGCCCTAGAGGGCAGACAGCCATGGAAGGAGAGAAGAGGAGCAGGCCTCAGAGTCTCCTGAGGGCAGACATAAAGATGAAGGAGAGAGAGGCAAGGGAGCCTCCCAGGTTCCTGATGCAAACTGCTGAGCAGCTCATGGTAGCAATGCAAAGAACAGACCTGGTGTGGGTGATGGGTGAGATGTTAGCTTTATCGAGATGCCCAGCACATGGTAAACAGTAGAGTCTGGTGTTCAGGAAAGGAAGCTGTACTGAAGATAAGACGCAGAGTCCTGTGGTAAAAGGTCAGAACTGAACACAGAGGGCAGAGGGCCTGCTGGAGAAGGAGAAAGGGCCTAAGACACCACTCACTTCCTACGAAGGGAGGGCCAGTGTACATCCTGGGAAGCACAATGCATGCACAGGCTTGCTTAGGTGTCACCAGTTCTAGCTTTTGTGCCTGTAGACAGCTGTCTACAGTCTATCTTGCCAATTCCAATGCTGTCTGGGATGGGCACGTATTGATCTTTCCTCCCCTATGCTCCCCAGGACCACCACCGCCACTCAAGACCCGATCTGTGCTCCGGGGTGATGATGTCCTTTTGCCCTGTGACCAGCCATCTAACCTGGCCCGGGCTTTGTGGCTACTCAACAGGAGCAAGAGCCTGAGTGATGGGCAGGATGGCTACCGCGTGGGAGTAGATGGACTGCTGGTAACAGACACACAACTGGAACACAGTGGCAACTATGGCTGCTATGCCGAGGAGAATGGCCTCCGTATGCTGCTGGCTTCCTACAGCCTCACAGTCCGGCCAGCCACCCCTGCCCCAGCTCCACAAGCCCCTGCCACACCTGGGGCACAGCTGGCACAAGACATGAGGTTGTTCTATGTGGTAGCCATTGCGATTCTTGGTGGCCTCTGCCTCATCTTGGCATCTTCCCTCCTCTATGTGGCTTGTCTTCGGGGAGGCAGACGAGGTCGAAGACGAAAATATTCATTGGGTCGGGCTGGCCGGGCAGGGGGCTCAGCTGTGCAGCTGCAGACGGTCTCGGGCCAGTGTCCTGGAGAGGAAGATGAAGGTGATGACGGAGAGGGAGCTGGCGGTCTGGAGAGTGGCTGTCTCCAGATCATCCCTGGGGAAGGAGCACCAACCCCCCCACCCCCGCCTCCCCCACCCCCACCCGCTGAGCTGACCAATGGGCTGGTGGCACTGCCCAGCCGGCTGCGAAGGATGAATGGCAGCAGTTATGTGCTCCTGAGGCAGAGCAACAATGGCGTGCCGGCAGGACCCTGCTCCTTTGCAGAGGAGCTCAGCCGCATCCTGGAGAAGAGGAAGCACACCCAGCTCGTCGAGCAGCTAGACGAGAGCTCCGTCTGAGCCCAGCCTCCCAAACACATGCTCTTCCAAGCCAGCCTGTCTGTCCTAGGCTGAGCCACTGCCTCCCCAAACATGTCCACCCTCCTTCATGCTCCCAACTCCATTGCCTTCCAACTTTGTGATGTCTCTGTAGGGCTGGCCAGAGTCATGGTTAGCCAAAGTCCCCTCTTCAGTCTCCAAGACACATGTGAGCAGCCCAGGCCCACCGGTGCTCCTTAAAGGTAGGTGCTTCCCCAGAACCAACTACTCCACAAACCCAGACCCAGTTTCTATCCCTTGACCTAAAGACTTGGGAGGATTGCCTTCTTATCCCATTATGTGCCCAACCTTCCTCTTCTTCTCAGGTAGGGCTCTGCAGGTCCAGATGGCCTCAATGTCACCACCCTCTGCACAGCTGTGTGCTGGGTAGTCCTGAATTCAGACAAGACCTCTCTCTACCAGCCACCCGAGTCCTGCTTCCATTCACATGTATACATGGACGAATGTGTATCAGCTGGGCTGCAGTGTCCTGCTCCTCCTCCTGGGGCATCCTTGTCTCACTCATCCTAGATTCAGGGCACCCTCCCAACTGTCACCTTCAGGTCTCTCCGGGCCCAGCCCCATGTGGTAACCCTTTGGCAGGAGACTGGGAACAGGCCGGCTTGGGAGGAGAGAAGCATCACTCCTCTCCTTTCCTCTGCAGCCTTTGTGAGTCAGCCTCCCTCCTCTTCTCATTCCCATGTGAGGGTGCCAGAGCTCCAGGCATGTCCTTCCCTGTGCGTATGTGGCAACACACCCGTATCATGTGCTTACATTTCCACCCACATGTACATCCTGAACCTCCCCTTGCTGCCTCAGTCAGACCTGTGTCTACTAGGTTTGGTCCATGGATATTTCAAAGGAAGATTTCCCTTCCCATGTAGCTGTCCTCACTGAACTAGGACAAGTGGCCAACACTGCACTCAATGAGCCAGCCTCCCTCTTAGGGACCAAGCAATTGCTCCTCCTAGACCAGAGCAGGAGGAAGTGACCTGGTATCTCACCTGGCACATGAAGCCCATTCCTGGAACTATGCAAAGGGCAGAGGCTGGGAGTTTGGATGCTTGGCTCCCATTCCTGTCCTACCTCACCAGGGCACTTTCAAGGTCCAAGGGCCTCAGATGTCTCCAGGCCCATATGGGACAATCAACCCTGACTGAGCTCTCCCATTCCCCTTGGGTGAGGATGACTGTTATTTTTGTAGCTGAGAACGTGGAACCCCACGAGTTTTTACTGCCCTTCACCCATACCTCTCCCACCTCCACCCCACAATGAATGTATTTATTGTGAGAATGGCTGTACTTCTTCAGGAATGCCCCCACTTGTCACGCAGGTGGGTGGAGCAGGCGCGTGATGGAATAGGGAGCCTGGGCTCTGCTCCTCCTCCTGATGTTGGCTAATAAATGCCCTCTTTCCCCCACAGCTTTGAGTGTCTGCTCGGTCTAGACTGGCTTTACCAGAGCCAGATTTCTGGCTAATGGAGAAGGTGCTCCAGAGATTTCTTCATCTAGGGTTGGCTTTGTTCCCCATAAAAATATTTACATAAGGAATGAGATCCTCCACGTCGGCCTCTGCTGAGCTGGGCAGGCACAGGGCCACGAGGGCTCACTTTTCTCACTGATGACCATGTTAAGGGGGATAAAATCAGAGCAGCTCATGAAGTCACAAGGACTCCCAGCATTTGCTCCTGGCCCTCTTCCTTTGGCTGTATCTTTGCAGATAGGGAACTTCACTGTTGCTCAAGCTGATCACCAACTCCTGGTTATGTACAACTACTGATACACACTAACAGCTCCTTGCTTTTAAAAAAAAGTGTTGCCTGTGTGCACATATGCTTTAACATGCCAGGGTGCACATATGGAGGTCAGGGGACAATTTGAGAGAATGTTTGCTTCTTCTTCCACTATGTGAGTCCTGGGGATCAAACTCAGGTTACCAGGCTTGCCAATGATTGCTTTTATATACAGAGCCATCTAACCAGCTCTTTTTTTTTTTTTTTTAAAGACCTGGTCTTACTGTGTAGCCCTCACTGGCTTGGAACCCTCTTTGTAGACTAGACTGCCCTTGAACTCATCTACCTGGCTGCCTCTGCCTTCTGAGTGATGGTCATTAAAAGTTGTACCACCACACTAAGGCCTTTCCCTTCCCTCCCTGACACCCTGATGCCAGATACCCTCAGAGACCAGGTAACCTGGAACCACCACAGATGGTTGTTGCTTGCCATGTGGTTGCTGAGAATTGAACCTGAGGCCTCTGGAAGAGCAGCAAGCGGTCTTAACCCCTAAGCCACCTCTGCCTGGAAGATACTCTCTGCCAGCCCTTGTGCCCCCCACCCCCAAGCTTCTCAGCACTTCCCACTCCTCCATCCAGGGACAGACACGAGCTCAGTGCTGTACAAAGAATTTTGGGGTAGGAGTGCAATTAGAACTACATAAAGCGTGTCACCTGGGACCTGCTCTGAGACTCTGGATCATATTGCCTTTGACACTAACCATTAAAAGGTTTTATGTTCTGCTTCTGCTTTCAGAGTCAAAAGTATGGCTTATGCTTAAAACATGCATACATTTTGAGCCAAGCACAGTGGCGCACATCTTTAGTTCCAGCACTTGGAAAGCAGATACAGGCAGGTCTCTATGAGTTTGAAGCCAGCCTGTGTCTACACAGTGATCCTGGACAGTCAGAGCTACATAGTGAGATCTTGCATCTTGAAAAAATTACAAATTTTTGACTTGTGACTTTGAGAGGCTGGAAAGATAGCTCTGGTGGTTAAAAGCATTGACTGTTCTTTCAAAAGACTCGAGTTCAATTCCCAGAACCAATATGGTGGCTCACAACTCCCTGTAACTCCAGTTCCAAGGGACCCTTGGAACTTGGCCTTCTGGCCTCTGAGTACTGTATGTGCATGGTGCACAGAAATACACGCAGGCAAAACACTTATACACATGATAAACATGATAAATAATCTTCAAACATGGTTTTAGGAAGTTTAATAACTTCAGTTTTCTTCCTTTTTCGTTTTTCTTTTTTTTTTTTTTCTTTTGGAGACCTGGTTGTCTTGGAACTTATTCTGTAGACCAAGATGGCCTTAAACTCAGAGATTCACCTGCCTCTGCCAACCAAATGCTGGGAATTAAAGGCACACACCAACACCAGATTCGACTTCAGTCTCCCAAACTGCACATAAACACTGATATAAGGTGCCTTGCCCAATGCTATACCACAGCGAGAACAACAGGACATCCTGTGTCCTTCAGAAGACAGTCTTCAGACTCTTTGCTGTGTTTTGAAATCATTATTATGTGTATTTCAGAAATCAAGGTCCTTGTATAACATTTGGAAGTGTTGTACACTTCTCACATCTCAGTTTACAAGGAGGCCAACTGAATCAGAATTAGGGTATTCACAAGGTAGCAGCACCTCGCTACAAGTGGGCAATGGGGAAAGCTCTTCTTTCTCCCGGGCCACACCCTCGCTGGTAGGCTCCACCTACTTGGCCTGCATTTGAAATCTGAAAGAGGAACGAATCCTATCACTTTCACCGTCCAAAGCCTGGTTCTTTACTGTGCTTGTACGGAAGCCGGAGCAGAATCCTGGAGTTCTCTGGGCCGCAGCCCGTGGAGGGCAGTCCGTTTGTTGGTGAAGGGGTGCCACTGGCCCTGGATGCTAGGGTTGTCCGTATGGAAGGGCTTGCGGATGCGGATCACATCCAAGCCGGATTGGTCTGCCAGCTTCTGCACCAGCGACGTGATCTCCTCCACCGACTTGCTGTTGACGTTTTCCTCGCGCACAGCCCCGTTAACTGCCAGAGGAAAGTGGGAATGAGTGTAAGCCTCCAGGTCGGAAAACAAACAAGTAAAACCCAGCGGGCAAGCCGGGATCCCGCCCCCCTCCCACCCTAACTCGGCCCAGCTCACGGTATTCGGCCACTATTCTTGGCACGGCGCACGGGCGCGGGTTCACGTATATTACGACTCCTGGGTTCCGTCGGGCGAAGTCGGTCACTTCGCGTTCCACGAACTCCCTGCGAGACGCAGCGAAGGTGAGTACGGTTCGCGGAACCCAGTCCCGTCGTTCCCCGCCCCCCTTTCCGGTCCTCCCGCTACCGCGCCCCTCACCTGGCGCCGCGGGACGAGGGCGCATCCCGGCTGAGGCTGAGGCTGAGACGCTGCAGCTGCTGCACGTAGCGACCTAGCCCATTATGGAGGACGCTGGTCAGAAAGCGGCTCGGAGTCCCGCGCCCGGTCATGGCTACCGTTAGATAGCCGGGACACGGAGCTGGAGGGCGGGACTAACCGACGACTTCCGGTTCCGGGGGCATGGGCGCCTAGGAGAGTTTTGCTTCCGGAGTCACAGCGACTGGCGCGTGCGGGCGACCCACGTTGCGGACAGAACACTAGAAAGGAGAGCGGTGACGCGAAGCTGGGGGCGGGAGCGTGGAGCTTCTGAAGTGGAGGGCAGAGCCCGGAGCCAGTGAGGACGCCGGGCCTGAGCGCGTGACCTCCAGCGGTGTGGAGGGTCCCTGTGAGCGCTAGGAACTAAGAGCGCCTGGAGTTGGGGTTCAGACAGGATGCGGAAAGCCGTAGAGATGAGGTTGGCGAGGAGAGTCCGTAGAGGGGTAGTAGACGTGAAGAGATGATACAGAGAAGCCGTTTAGATTGAGGGACCGTAGAAGGCCCTAGAAATATGAGAATCTTCAGAGAGGGGCGTAGACGAGAAAGGGTAGTATAGGTGTGTAGGGATGAAGTAGCAATATACAGGCAACCAAGGGGATTAAGAACTGTGTTCTTAAAGAAGTTTTAGTAGAGAAAAAGAGAAAAGCCAGCAATTGTGAGTTCTGTGAGTGCTTTGTGGAAGGTTCCAAGTGAAGGCACTAAACCAGATACCAAAAGTTTTTGCAGCAGTTGCATCCCACTCCATTAGGAAATGTGGCTGCTTCTCCGACGTGCGTATCCTCTCCGGATCTTGCTGCCACTTCGTGGGGAGTGGGTGGGTAGGAGAGGCCTGCCCCGAAGCTTGGCTCCAGGCCCTCCCCGTAGAAGGTACAGAAAAGAAGCGCTCCCAGCTTTAGAGATACCTATGTCACCTGTGACTACAACTGAAATCCGCCAATATTTACGTGCACATGGGATCCCCTTCCAGGATGGCCACAGCTGCCTTCGAGCACCAAGTCCCTTTGTGGCGTCCTCAGACATCAAAAATCAGAATAAGGATGCTACCACTTCCTTCTGCCTCTTCATCGACAAGACCACAGGACACTTTCTCTGCATGACCAGCCTAGCAGAAGGGAGCTGGGAAGACTTCCAGGCCAGTGTGGAGGGACGAGGGGATGGGGCCAAAGAGGGAGTCCTACTTAGGGAGGGCCCAGAAGCTGAGGACAGGGAGGAGGTCTTGAGAATCTGGAACCGAGCCATACCTCTTTGGGAGCTTCCTGACCCTGAGGAAGCCCAGCTAGCTCGTGTGGTGTTTGGCCTTACCAAGGTGACAGATGACACACTCAGGAGATTCAATGTCCGATATCTTCGATCTACTCGAAGTCTGGTCTTTCCTTGGTTCACCCCTGGGAGCTCAGGATTACGTGGCCTGAAGCTACTAGGGGCTGAGGGTCAGGAAAATGGAGTACACTACGTAGACACCACTATTCCCCGGCCTGGTGTCTATCACAACCTATTTGGATTACCACTGATCAGCCGTAGAGATGCGGAGGTGGTCCTGACAAGCCGTGAACTGGACAGCCTGGCCTTGAGCCAGTCCACGGGCCTGCCAACCCTTTCCCTGCCCCGAGGAACGGTCTGCTTACCCCCTGCCCTACTCCCTTACCTCGAACAGTTCCGTCGGATTGTGTTCTGGCTAGGAGATGACCTTCGATCCTGGGAAGCTGCCAAACTGTTTGCCCGAAAACTCAACCCCAAGCGATGCTCTTTGGTGAGGCCTGGGAGCCAACAACCTCGTCCCCTGGAGGCCTTAAACCAAGGCTTAAGTCTTCCCCGTATTCTTCGTACTGCCCTCCCTGCCTGGCACAAGTCTATTGTGTCTTTTCGCCAGCTCCGAGAAGAGGTTTTAGGAGAACTGTCAAATGTGGACCAAGCAGCTGGTGTCCGTTGGAGCCGCTTCCCAGACCTGAATCGTCTGCTGAAGGGACATCGGAAGGGCGAGTTGACGGTCTTTACAGGTGACTCTGTAAAATCACTGGTTTGGGGGCTGGAGAGATGGCTCAGTGGCTAAGAGCGCTGGCTGCTTTTGCAGAGGACTCAGAGTTCAATTCCCATCACCCATATAGTGGCTCACAACTGTCTGTAGCTCCAGTTCCAGGGGGATCTGATGACTTCTTCTGGCCTCTAAGGACACCAGGCATGCATATGTTCCACAGCCATATATGCAGATAGAACACCCATATCCATAAAATATTATAAAAATATCAGTGTTTTAGGTAAAGGATTAGACAATATGGTGACAAAGTATGTGGTGTTTGGCCACTGGCAGTATCTATTTATTTATTTATTTATTTATGATTTATTTATTATGTACATGAGTGCTTTGTATGTATGTATGTGCACAACATGCATGCCTGATGCCCTCAGAAGCAAAAACTTATTCTATCACCTGGAACTGGACCTGCAGATTGTTGTGAGCCATCATGTGGGTGCGGGGAATCAAATCCAGGTCTTCTGCAAGAGCAACAAGTACTCTTAGTTACTGCTTCATCCCTCCTCACCCTGCTGGCAGTGTTGAAAGGAGGCTTCCCCTCTCAACTTTGACTGGAATCTTGGTTCAAAGACCAGACTTTCATCTTTTTGTTTGTTTTTTTGTTTTTAAGATTTATTTATGTTATGTATGTGAGCACACTGTAACTGTCTTCAGACACACCAGAAGAGGGCATCGGATCTCATTACAGATGGTTGTGAGCCACCATGTGGTTGCAGGGAATTGAACTCGGGACCTCTGGAAGAGCAGTCAGTGCTCTTAACCACTGAGCCATCTCTGCAGCCCCTCTTTTTTGTTTTAGGTTTTTTGGTTGTTTGAGACAGGGTCTCTCTGTGTAGCCCTGGCTGTCCTGGAACTCACTCTATAGACCAGGCTGGCCTTGAACTGAGAGACACCCCCACCCTGCTTCTGCCTCTCATGTGCTACCAGACTTTCTTCTTAACTCGAGGCTTTGTCTATCCCCCTATAGGGCCAACAGGCAGTGGCAAGACAACATTCATCAGTGAGTATGCCCTGGACTTGTGTACCCAGGGAGTGAACACACTGTGGGGTAGCTTTGAGATCAGCAACGTGAGACTAGCCCGGGTCATGCTGACTCAGTTTGCTGTGACACGGCTGGAAGAGCAACTGGACAAGTACGAAGAGTGGGCAGACCGTTTCGAGGACCTGCCTCTCTACTTCATGACTTTCCACGGACAACAGAGCATCAGGTAAGACCGTCAAAGCCCAGTTACTTTTCAAGGAGATAATTAATTAATTGATTGATTAGAGGTAGGTCTCTCTTGCTAGCTCTGGCTGTCCTGGATCTCATTATGTAGACCAGGCTGCCCTTGAATTCACAGAGATCCACCTGCCTCTGTCTTCAGAGTGCTGGGATTAAAAGGTATGTGTCACCATACCTGGCCCTTCCTTTCATTTTTGAGAGATCACATCATTTTTTTGATTCTTTTTCCAATTCTAGTGAGAGTGCCATCCAGTCTCTTTAGACAGGCTTGGGGTTTTCAGAGAACATGAAGTCGGGAGAGCAGGTCTTCACTGGTGTTTTCAGGATGCAAGCTCTTCCCCCCTGGAGTGTCCTGAGGCTATTTGTTGACTATTTAAATGGCTGCTTCTCTTTCCCAGGTCTGTCATAGACACAATGCAGCATGCTGTCTACGTCTATGACGTTTGTCACGTAGTCATCGACAACTTGCAGTTTATGATGGGTCATGAGCAGCTCTCTACTGACAGGTGAGCTCTTCTCCTCTAACTCAGACACACGTCTTCTCTTGAAGCTGTCAGGGACTGGAGGGTGAACCCTTATGTAGAAGGTGTAACAGGGCTGGGATAGTTTGTCTGGAGTGACTTGCTCAAGAGTTTATGTATGTTCCACCCAATAACCTTTTTTATTGCTGAACTTCGTTGCTGCAGGATTGCAGCTCAAGACTACATTGTTGGAGCCTTTCGGAAGTTTGCTACAGACAATAGCTGCCACGTGACTCTGGTTATTCACCCACGGAAAGAAGATGACGACAAGGAACTGCAGACAGCATCCATTTTTGGCTCAGCCAAAGTGAGTTGTCTTTAAGGTACTCAAGCTCTGAGGAGTTAGAGAGTGTAACGAGAAACAGTCCTCATTCAGTCTTAGAGCCTCAAGATTGTCCTGAACAAGAGAAAGACGTGGGGCTCTGGGGCCATGGCACGAGAGACATCAGGGATGGGAGTTTGTTCTTTGCAGTCTAGGAACTCACATCTGCTAGCAGCAGAAAGTGTGAGCGGGTGATTGCAGCTCCATGAGTTGAGCTATAAGGAGTTACCTGTGAGTCATCCTGTGACATCTGGGGAGACTTCCCAGCAGACATCCCAACAAAAGTCATACTGAGGTTTCCAATAAATGGGAAGGCCTTCTTGGCCACAGGACCAGCTCCATCCTGATGTCTCCAGTGGTCTACTGAATTCCTTTTACATGCAAGGCCTCAGCTAGGCAAGGGGAGTTGAGGCTGAGTTGTAAAAACTTTGTCACTTTGAAACAAACATGGAACAAGAATAATGCAGAAGTTAAAAAACATGGTGGTACTGTAGGGGATCAAAGGTGGTCCTAGGGAAGTGATACATGAGTGGTGAGAATAAGGTGGGCAGGTAGGAGGGGCCACCATGAAGGAGAGGCATTGAAAGCAGGGCCAGCAGTACCAAGTCTGAGACAGTGGTGAGTTTGTTACAGCTGGGAGATTGCCGGCTCCAGCATTGACTGTGATGAGTTGTTTAAAGAGCTTAGTGATGAGGGGCTACTTTTCCCGTTTTAAAGATTTACTTTATTTAATGTGCATGGGTGTTTTGCCTGCATGTATGTCTGTGCACCACATGCATATTGGTACCCACAGAAGCCAGAAGAAAGCATTGGATTCCCTGGGACTAGAGTTACAGACATTTGTACAGACTACCCTGGGGGTGCTGGGAATTGAACCTAGACCTTCTGAAAGAGCAGCCAGTACTCTTAACTGTTGGGCCATCTCTTAAGCCTCTCCTTTTCCCAATCTTGGCACTCCTCCCTGTACCCTCAACCTTTCACTCCTGTCTTTTTTCTCCTGCCCCCTCTCTTTTAGGCAAGCCAAGAAGCAGACAATGTTCTGATCTTGCAGGATAGGAAGCTGGTGACTGGGCCTGGGAAACGGTATCTGCAGGTGTCCAAGAATCGCTTTGATGGAGATGTAGGTGTCTTCCCACTTGAGTTCAACAAGAGTTCCCTTACCTTCTCCATCCCACCCAAGAGCAAAGCCCGACTCAAGAAGATCAAGGATGACAATGGGCTGGTGGCCAAAAAGTCCTCTTCTGGCAAAAAAGGGGCTGTGCACCAGAACTCTGAGACTTGCTTAGGCCAGGACCCCAGCCCCTACCAGCCAGATACCTCCAAGTCCTCAAGGTGAAAGCAGTGCACAGCTGCTTGCCGAAATGAGCCTGGTAGACCAGGCTGACGCACAGACGCTTGGGCTGGGCTCGTCCATATAGTCCTGAGCACGGAACCTTTCTCAGCTCAGGGCTGGGTTCCATGGTGAAAAATTTTAATTCAGCAGCTACTGGGGATCTCCTGAATGCTGGTTTGTTTGTTTGTTTGTTTGTTTGTTTGTTTGTTTGTTTTTCCCCATAGGTTTTAATGTATGCACTGAAAAGACAAGGTCTGTTTCCAAAGAGCCAGCATTCTGGTGAAAGGAGCAAAGCAAAGTGAAGCAAAGCTAGACTGCTCAGCTAGTTTTGATTAGTCAGTCTAAAAAGGTGTCTGAGCAGAGTGCATGTGAGAACTAGACATGGGCCTTGTGAACCTCTGGAGAAAGGGACCTCGGGTGGGAATGAGCAAGTCAGATAAAGGGGGTGGCAGGAGAACCTGCCATGAAACAGGAGGCTTGCTGAAACTCCAGCATGTTGGCATTCAGAGCCGAAGAATGATGCAGCAGACACCAAGCCTCTCTGCTCTGCTTTATAGAGCCAGGTAGAAGAATGGATCTGAGGTGCTTATCCTGTACGATCAGGGCCTCAAAGACGGGAGCTGCTTCTCACTGGACCATGGGAAGAAGCTGTAAGCCTGCAGTGCCTGCCCCCTGGGTACCGATTCCACTGTATGCTACATCTGACAGCTGGAGCTAGGACTCTTTGTAGAGCCTTTTCCAGTTTGAATGAAGCATTTCTATTGCCTTTGTTTCTGTGCTTTTTCTTATTTGTCCACCAGGTGTCTCCCCGCACTAATTGGATTTCTTCTCTGAATTAGGTAAATGGGACCTTTTACCCACTTCAACCTTTGAGCCATAGGCTCCCAAATAGCAGGGAGTAGTACAGGGTCTTCACATCACACCCCCTAAATATACACCTTCCTTGGCCTAGGGGAAACAGAGTGGTGTGATAACTTACCTGAGGACTCCAGAAAATCCTTGACAGGTGTGGGTCAATGGGCCACATACCCAGGCCTTCCTTGCCTGACCAGCCGTCCCTCTTCACCTGTGAGGTGAGCCATTTACATTTCTCAGTGTAGACTCAAGAATCAATTCTAGCTGGGTGTGGTGGTGAATGCTTTGAATTCCAACACCCGGGAGGTAGAGGTAGGAAGATCAGGAGTTTGAAGTATCCTAAACTACACAGTGTAGGCCAGACTGAGCTACTCAAAACCTTGTCTCAAAAAATAGCTTCTTTTTATCTTTACCCTCATCTATTTCCTCTGGAATCCTCCCATTTCTTCTTAACGTGCTAGAGCTCCTGGGAATTTGTTAAAAAGGCAGAGCTTAGGGCAGTCTCTCCCCTGGGCCTTGACAGACTCTGAGTTTGAGTTTGATATGGAGTCTGGATGCCTCAGTTTAACAAGCGCTACAGAAGATTGTAGAAGAAATGATCCACAGACTGCCAGGCATGTTGCTAAATGACCTTTTAATTTCACTTCCTTTGAAACCCTAAAGTACTGATTTCAAGATGTTCAGACTGGGGGTCTTAGAAAGCCTCTGCCTTTTACTCCCTAGAGGAAGAGCAACCTTTTCAAATCAACCCAAGAGGAAGCTTTTAGAACCAGATGGAAGAGTCCAGGGTTTCTGAGAATCCTAGCCACAAAGACCTAAAACAATTGCTTGCAAAGCTGTTGGTGGTGGGGAAGAACCCAGGGGTGGGGGTAGCTCCTCCGGGGTCTGCCTTCTTGGGGGTCTCTCCCAGACTGGCTGGAGCCAGGCCTCTCTAATCCTGCAGTAATCATTACCAGCAGTTGGCTGCTCTAGGCCTCATCCAGGGTCTGAACTATTTAAGTCAGCCATGCCTTCCAGATGTACAAAAAGAGCTTTTCTACCTATAAGGGCATGGATTCTATATTCTACTCCCCCTAAAATGCCTGGGGTGTTCTCAGAAAATCCTTTAGTTTCTAGTTTGGAGTTTGTGAGGGCTGTACGATCAGCAGAGAGAAACAGATACGCATTTGCCTGTTTGTCTTGCCCCACCCTCCTGGCGCACACCCCCGCACAGCACAAACCAGAATGAGGAGGAGGAGGGGAAGCTAACACACCCCCTACACAAACACATTCCACTTCATACCTGCCCTAAAGTCCCCACAGCAAGATCTAGCACAAAGTATGCTCGGTAGCTATTGGAGCTTAGAAGCCAGGAAAGGTAAGTCCCTATATCTTTAATATAAAGTCCTGGGGAGGCGCTTTATATCCACATACTCAAAGTGCCTTGAAGCAAATCACCTGGGATGGAGTCGTGTAACCCTGTGCTCCAATTAATGTCCCAGAGACCTTCTGGAAGGGTCTGGCCTAGCAGGGTCAGATTAGCTCTGCAGCCCTGTTTTCAGACTGACATTGTGTCTCACATGGCTGTGAGGGGCAGCTTTAGGTCTTCAACAGCTGTGCTGTGTGAGTGAGTCTGAGAAGAGACCAAACTCACCTTGGTCTCCTGCAGGCCAATTACTCAGGCAGTGGGTCTGGCTCAGAGAGCTGTAAACTCATGCCTTCCCACAATATACCTGGTAAGCCAGGGAGGAAGGGAGCTTTTGGTACCTCCCTGAAATACAGGCCAACTTCCTGTTTGCTCCTGTGGGTGGGACTTTATGTGCCTGAGGAAGCCTAGCCATACCCTATGGGGGGCCAGACTAGCAGCTTTCTCACCTGGGTTGGTTAACTACTCCAGGGAAGGAGGCGGTACTAGGTCTATCTGGACAGCCCCAGACAGCCCAAGCCCTAATGAGTGTGTGTGTGTGTGTGTGTGTGTTATGAAACTCGACACTTCTTTGTCTGCTTCATAGGGATTTTCCCTCTTCTAGTTGTGAGCAGAATGGACCGGATTGAGTTCTCTACAGAGCCGGACAGAGTCAAGCTCTATAGCGCCTTAGTTAAGGCTGCCAGGTAGCTTAACCGTCAGTTACATCTGCCCTCCCCTTAGGTCAAAAGTCTGTATGCTGCTCAGTCAAAAGGCCAGAGAGACAGCCTTAGGCCACCATCAGGCTACTTTTGGACTGGGTACTGGGTTGGACTACTTTTGGGTTGGGTACTAGGTTAGCTATTTGGAGGTGCGGGGCAGACCACTCCCCTCTGGGGGGGGGCGCGGCTTCAGCCGCCCCGCCCCACACTTCCAGGGCCGGCCTGGCGGGAGCCGGGAGCCGGGAGCGCTGAGCCCTGAGTCCGCTGGAGAACCAGAGTTCTATCGCGGCGAGGAAGTAGGCACGCTGGAGCAGGAGCCGGGCCAAAAAGGGAGCAGCGGCGCCGGTGACGCTGGGTGAGTGGTGGAGCGAACGGGGTGCAGGAACTCCGGCCTCCCGCAGGTCCTCACTTTGGAGAGAACTTTACGCGTTTTTAAGAAACGGGATCGGGATGACGAAGGGGTCCGCACTCTGTGGAGCGCAGGTAAAACCTGAACAGCAAAGGGGCAGGGAAACTTACACAGACGCACAGACACACACACACACATGCATTCACTTAAGATATGAACACACGTGTGCTCAGGAAAGGACAAGCACAGCGAGGTACCCTAGCTGTCTCAGAGGCAGTGTTCCAAGCTCACACGACCACCCAGCTCACCCCGCGATGTGGACGCTGAGTTTTTCTGCGGGAGGCTCAGGCAAAGGGGACGCCCTGAAGACTGTCGGCGGGGGCGGGCGGGGTTTGTCGCACCAGGCGGTTCCTGCTTCCCTGCCGGCTGCCTGCAGGTGAAGACCAAGACGTAAACAGGCGTTGAGCACGTGATTGCTTCGTAGACGGGTGGGCAGTGTTCCCCAACTCCTGTCTAGGCAGGGACACCCCTCTCATCCACCTCTCCGCCGGTCCTAGCACGTTTGTTTCGCCCTGTACAGGGCTTTATTCCACACTTCACCTGGAATGGTGATAAATCCTTTCACCATGAATAGAAGCTCAAGGCCTCTGGGGGCCTGGATGGCCCGGAGAAGTTTGGGGTTAACTTGGGCACCTTGCCTTGAAGCTCACTAGCACGTTCTTGGAACCCATATCCTTGAAAGGTATCCGAGAGAGGACCTTGATGGCCCGGGACAGCTGCCCCGGTCTCATACACCCAGCCCCGGGAGCAGCTGTCTGTAGGTCCTCTTCCTACGGCCACCTCCAACCCTTGCAGGACTGGGCACAAATAGCCCACCCATGCAGAACAGTCTCCCCTCACCCCTCCTCCCAGGCAATGCACTAAGAGAAAATATATCCTTAAACCTGAGGAGAGTTTGCCTCCTCTAAGTGGAACAAGCACCAGAATCCCCTCTCTCAGAAAATGAAAGGTGGGCTGCAGCCCTAGGCCTCTCTCCCCCTCCAGCCCCCACCCTTTGTCCCCCACCCCTCACCCCGCCACACGCTGAGCCCAGCTGCTGCCTGAGCTTCTGGGCAGGAGGCCAGAAAGGGGAGGAGGTTCTCGGTGCCCCAGGAGGCAGGGATCAGGGCAAGGCCAGAGGAGGGGGTTTCTGTTGGGGAGAGGGGTTCAGTCTGTTCTTGTGAAGCTGAAGGGCTGAAGTGAGCCTGAGGGTGGCTAGGCTGTGTTTTCCTTTCCAGGGAAAAAGAAAGAAAAACAACCCTTTCCATGGAGCTAAAAATAGAGCCGAGAGCCGGCCAGGCTGTGGCCTGGAAGGGGGGGGGCGATGCTTCTTCCTGGGGCTGAGCCCAGCTCTGGCAGGCCTTGGCCCTGGCGGGGTGAGGGGGAGCATCGAGGAAGAGAGGATGGCCTTGCCAGGAGATGTGAATGTCAGCTGACCTGACCAGGTCACAGAGACCCCTCAGGGAGAGTGGCTAGTTTGTAGCTATGATGTAAGGACTTGCCTGAGTGGCTGAATACGGCTACGGCTGTCATTGCGTGGAAGAGGGTTGGGAGACTTAGTGTATTTAAAGAATGTGACTGGATGCAAAGGACTGTTGTGCACTCTCACATGCACGAAACATCCAAGTCTTCTGTGAGTTGGCCTCAAGGATTCTGGAATGAAGGACTATGGAGCCACGTGACGGAGGAGACTGTGATTGTGGCTGCCCGAGACAGAATGTGGGAAAGGTCGTGTGGGTGTTACGACTGTTGTTTTCGAGAGGGTAAAAATATTTGTGACCCTGAGAAAGCCTTTGGGATGTCTGCTGCGGAGCTAGTGTAGGTTTGAGCTGTTCATTTTTTGGTGATTATTGGGGGCTAGGTACTCCCCCTCTTGGAGCAGCGACCTTTCTCATAGCAAATGACCACCCCGAGGTTCGGCTGGGGAGCCTGGAGCCATGCCAGGGACAAGCCTAGGCTCGCGGCCCGAGGGTGCTGCACTGGAAAGGGAGTGGGATTTTTGGGGGGCTGGGGGGGGGGCTGATAAAATTGCTGGAAGGGGCCGCCAGGTGGCGCCGCTTCGGAAAATCCAAGTGTGTGACCTCCAGCCTGCTGGGGGTGGGACAGACAGCGACCGAGCCAGTCCCTCAACTTGTGCCCGGGAGCCGGCAACCGGAGAGGGACGGCTGACCCCCTCGGCCTCCCCTTGGACCGGGAAGCTGGAGACGGAGGAGGGAAGCTTCTCCTAGAGGAGCGGAGGGGGAGGGGCGGGCGCCGCGCCTCGGCTCTTTGTGCTGGAACAATGACCAGCTGCCGCCGGCCCCCGGGCTCCGGCAGGGATAGACGATGACCCGCTCGCTCGCCGAGTGTCGAGCCGGACGAGCTGCCTAACACACACGCAGTCGCTAGGCCACTCTGGGAGGAATCCCGAGCGCCACCGTGCAGCCCCCGCGTGCACCCTGGCGGGCACGCGTGACGTGGGTTCCTTGCGCGTGTCCGCGCCCCGGGGCGGGGACGCCCCTCGGACCCCTCCCCCGTTCGGCGCGCACCGCCCACTCGGGCCGGGCGGGGGCTGGTCAGGGCCGGGGGGCGCCGGCTAGGCGGAGGCGGGGCCGAGCCGGGCAGCTCCGAGTGGCCGCGCGCGGGCTGGAGCGGGCGGCGCGCCTGTGGAGTGCTGGGGCGGCCCGGGGCTGAGCATGGAGCAGCGCGGCGGAGGTGAGGGATCCAGGGCTGAGGGTGCCCAACTTCAAAGCGATGCGGTCCGGTGGGGAGGTGGCATTCCATAGACGCCCCCGATTCATGGAAGGAGCGGACGATTGTGGGTGGGCCGGGGGACTCTGGGCTTTCAGATCACGAATGGGAACTCGTGATCCCAGACTGGATCCTGCTTGACTGGTCTCTGGAGTTTGAGTGTGTGTTGTGGGGGACTTTCCCCAACTCTCCAACCCCAGCCCTGAGGTCAGAGAGTTGGGACGTGGGCCAGACTCATCTCAGGCCCTGGCGCGGCCCCAGACGCCAGAACCCTCAGCCTGCTTCCTGGGGTGGGGGCGCAGGGGTCTGTGTACCATAGTGATAGGTCAGGGAGTGCTGGGGAGAACCAGGGGTTTCTTTTTCCCACAGCTACAAACGCATTTCTCAAAATGGAGCCGCTTGCCCCTCCTTCTCTCTTGGGCCTCAAGAGCGGGAGCCAGGCTGGCTAGGCCTGGCTTTCCAGACGCCTGGCCCTCAGAGCCCAGCTTTACAGTTCCTCTGGCTTTCGGAGTTCTTGCCTGCGTAGCTTCAGCGACCCTAACTCATGTTTCTGCCTCTGGCTCCTCGTGTCTGAGCCTCTTGGCCTCTTTGTCTCTAATGTCTTCTGTCTCTCTGAGTGTCTACCCTGGCTCTTGCCCTTCCTTCTGGGTCTCACTTTCTGTGTCCCCTGGAATAGGGACAGCAGTGCCAGTCCTTTCTTCTCTCTATACTGTGGAGTATTCTCCATCCCTAGGCTGGACCTTGTGGGGGCGATCTCAGTACCTAGCCCTACAGAGAATGATGTAGTTGCTTCTCGTACCCATTTCACTTCCTACCCTAGATCTCAGCAACTCTTCCTCAAGCTGGACTCCTGTGATTCTCTGGCTTTAACGCTTAAAGGCACTTAGCGGAGAACAATATACAAAGATAAGCTGGGGAAAGGACGTCAGACACTGTGATCTCACCTTTCCTCAAACTCTTAAGTTTAAAGAAAAAAAGTTTTAGGGAGGAGCTCCCATTCACTCCGGTGGCCTTGAATGTCACCCAGGTGCCAACGCACTCCCAGAGTGCTCACTCATACTGATTACTGGAGATGAACTTTTGCACACTTGTGTAAAATACATACATAGGAATCCATGTAACTGTCCTGACAGAAATGAGCAGGTTCTATAGAGATTTGTGTGTCTCTGTCTCTCAATCTTGAGAGGCTGGAATCAATGCTCCCCAAAGAAATGAGGATTTCATGCCGAGAAAAGAAAATGGCTTATTGAGGATGGCTGACTGAAACTGACTTGGGGCCCAAATTTGGTGGTATTTACACAAAAATCAAGGATATGTGGACACACTGCTATATCTATGCAAACATTTTTTATTTCATATAGTGACAGAGCCCACAGATTCATTTGTTACATACACGTTAATAACGTTTGTGTGCTAAGTTATGAAACTCATACCCTTGTAAAACATAAGAATTCACACATACAGCCTGGCAGTGGTAGTAACCCATGCCTGTAACTCCAGCACTCAGAAGGTGGATTTCTGAGTTCAAGGCCAGCCTGGTCTACAGAGGAAGTTCCAGGGCAGCCAGGAATACACAGAGAAACCCTGTCTTGGAAAAAAACAAAACAAAAGAATTCACACATACAGCTGGGCATACAAGCACAAGGTTAGAATCCCAGCTCTCTGAGGCAGGAGGATCCCTGAGTTTGAGGTTGATGTACCTGTGGTACATAGCACAGCCCTGTTTGGTTTTGTGATATCCCTCTACATCACACAAACACACACACACACACACACGTATGAATGTACTGACATCTGTCTAAACCCACATCGACTGACACTGCATGTTTTCATGCACATTCTCACAGATACAGTTCATTTTTATGGTCCTGTCTACGTCCTCACACCCGCGAGTAAATGTACACAGACACACTCTGCTCATGGAACCCTCTGTCCACTCCTTGGCCCCTGTACTACGTGATGACTTCAGCAGATGCCTAAGTCTTGGTCATCAGCAGCCTTGGGACTGGGAGGGAGTTCCAGGCGCTGGCTTGCTGTCCTTTCCAGGAAGGAGCAGGACTAAGGGAGGTGGAGCCATTTTACTTGAGATCGTACCAAAAGTGGTGATGGGCTCCTGCTCAAATTCCATAGGGGTTATTCTGAAGATCACCTAAAGCGGGAAGGTTTATAAAGGTTGGCAGTGGGACAGGGCCTGTGTAGGCTCCCTTAGTCCCGAGTGATGGCAGAAGCTAAGAGTTGACATGGAAACAAGCACAGCCTGCATCAACCTCTGGGAGGTAGGAGACCCCCCCAGAGGGCACCTGTGGGTTCCTAAGACCTTAGAAGGTTTCCTGTTTGGCCGGCTCCACCCTCGATGTCGCCTGAGTGTCTGGGAGAGTGTCTGGGAGAAACTGAGGCCCAGCAGTGGGAGGCTGGACAGTGCCTAGCTTTGGCTCTTTGTTCCCTAATTACCATCTGAGTTGCTGATTGCATCCCTGACGTGTCCTCTGCCCAAACAGCCCAGTAATGAGGCCACCTGTCCCAGGAGAGTAGGGACCTGTACTGGGAGCTAGTAGTTAGGGATCTCTGCCCAATCTGAGTCTTCGGCTATATAGGGGATACAGATTTGGGCTTAAACTGGGTCTTCTCTGCCAAGGCACCCTGTATCACCCCTTAGGTATCCCATTCCTTTGTCTCTGTTGGATCAAGTTATTCCTTAGCATTGTTCCAGACTAGAGTTGAGGCCCAGAGGAACTTGAGGTTCATGCCAGTTCTTGGATAGGAAGCCTTTTTACTCTATGGGGAATGTTCTGTTAGGAGAGCATCAGGAGAAGGCCTGTAGGGGGAGGACCCTCAAGGGACTCTGACACCAATGCCCTGCTCACAGGTTGCCCTGGAGGCCCCTGGCCAGGCCTGAGCCTCTGCCACCATGGCCATTGTGCACACTCTGCCAGTGCCACTGGAGCCCGCACGTGAGACAGCCACTGCCCCACAAACTCCAGCAATGGGCAGCGTGAGCAGTCTTATCTCAGGCCGGCCCTGTCCTGGGGGACCTGCTCCTCAACGCCACCATGGTGTTCCTGGGCACACCTTCTTCCGTCAGCAGGATGGGCTCCTACGGGGCGGCTACGAGGCACAGGAGCCACTTTGCCCAGCTGTGCCACCCAGGAAGGCTGTCCCAGGCAACAGCTTTACCTATGTCAATGAGGACTTCCGGACAGAGTCACCTCCCAGCCCAAGCAGTGACATTGAAGATCCCCGAGAACATCAAGCACACAATGCCCACCTCCGTGGGCCCCCACCAAAGCTCATCCCTGTCTCTGGAAAGCTGGAGAAGGTAACGGGCAACCCTCTTGGGAGGATCTGGGTGGGATCAGGAGCCCCATAGGGAAGCTAGAATTTGGGAGCATATGCAGAGCAGAGAGTATGGCTTCTGTTTTATCGCTCCTTCTGGCTCAGGGAAATAACCTGTCAGGGCCCCATTTTCTGTGTCTTAACAGTTAAGGTTAGAGGCTAATCTTCGTAGGCTTCTGTTAGAATTAATACTTAGTATAGTACCCAGCACACTCACATGAACAATATAGTAGTTGTTTCAATTATTTTTTTTTTTGTTTTGTTTTTTGAGACATGGTTTCTCTCTGTAGCCTTGGCTATCCTGGAACTCACTGTGTAGACCAGGCTGGCCTTGAATTCACAAAGATCTGCTTGATTCTGCCTCCCAAGTGCTGGGATTAAAGGCAATTGTTACCACCTCCAGCCTAGTTGTTTCAGTTATTACAGAGATGTGTGTGTGTGTCTTTGGGCCTCTACATCCTCGATTTTAATATGAGACGAGGATAATGTTTTGCTTGCATGGCTATTACAGTGATTAAAAATAAGCATTTTGAATATCTTAACACAAGCGGACAATTAGGGGCCTGCTGCCAGTGGGAACAATTGGTTCTAATGTGTAGGGGTTGAGGACCCTGGGTGGGAAAAATAGTGTGATGGTTTGGACGAAGGTCTGGGGCTTCAGGAGATAGCTAAGTGGGTGAGTCGCTTGCTGTGGAAGCACAAGGACCTGAGTTCAGATCGCCAGTACCCATGTGAAAAGTTGGCCATCCATCATGGCATGGGACTGGAATCTCAGCACTTGTAGGGCAGAGACAGGCAGAGATCCCTGGGGTTTGCTGGGCAGTCAGACTAGCTGGATTGATGAACTCCGGGTTCCATCAGAGACTGTATAAAAAATTAGGGAGAATTAGTAATTAAGGAAAGCACCTGACTTTGACATTTGGTCTTCACACACAGGCACCAGTGTGTGCACACGCATGCACACACACACACACACACACACACTCTGATTAGTGTTTTGAAAGGTCAAGCAAGCAAACTGGGCTTGGTGTCACACACCTGTAATCTTAGAGGGCAGAGAAACCTTGCTTGTGTTCAAGGCTAGCTTGAGGATACATAGTGAGTAAGCTCAGGCCAATAGAGTAAAACTCTGTCTCAAAAAACAACAAAAATGAAAAATTTTTTTAAAAAAAGGGACCGGGCAGGTCATCCTCACAGTGTCACGTGATACCTCATTTCAGAATATGGAGAAGATCCTGATCCGGCCTACAGCCTTCAAGCCCGTGCTACCCAAACCCCGGGGCGCGCCAACCCTACCTGGCTTCCTTGGTCCTCGAGCTGCTGGGTTATCTGGGAGCCAGGGCAGCCTGACACAGCTGTTTGGGGGGCCAGCCTCTTCCTCTTCCTCTTCCTCTTCCTCCTCTGCTGCTGACAAACCCTTGGCACTGAGTGGTTGGGCCAGTGGCTGTCCTTCAGGAACATTGTCAGACTCTGGCCGAAATTCCTTATCCAGCTTGCCTACCTACAGCACCGGAGGTGCCGAGCCAACCACCAACTCCCCAGGTGGGCACCTGCCCTCCCACGGCCCTGGCCGAGGGGCACTGCCTGGTCCAGCCCGAGGGGTCCCTACTGGGCCCTCCCATTCAGACAGTGGCCGGTCCTCCTCCAGCAAAAGCACGGGTTCCTTGGGGGGTCGTGTAGCTGGGGGTCTCTTGGGCAGCGGTGCCCGGGCCTCCCCTGGCAGCAGTTCGTGTGGAGACCGCTCTCCACCCCCTCCACCGCCTCCGCCCCCTTCGGATGAGGCCTTGCTACACTGTGTCCTGGAAGGGAAGCTTCGAGACCGAGAGGCAGAGCTGCAACAGCTGCGGGACAGTATGGAGGAGAGTGAGGCCACCATGTATCAGGTGCGGCCAGTGGCAGACCTGGGGCAGTATGGCTGGATACCCAGAAGCCTAGGAACAATGCATGGAGCATTGCCGTTGGGGAGGGGAGATAGTCAAAACTCATGGTGTGACACCCCCAAGGTTGTTAGCTTTTTTTTTTTGGTTTGGTTTTTCAAGACAGGGTTTCTCTGTGTAGCCCGGGCTGTCCTGGAACTCACTCTGTAGACCAGGCTGGCCTCGAACTCAGAAATCCGCCTGCCTCTGCCTCCCAAGTGCTGGGATTAAAGGCGTGGGCCACCACTGCCCGGCTTTTTTGTTTGTTTGTTTGTTTGCTTGTTTGTTTGTTTGTTTGTTTCATTTTTCGAGACAGGGTTTCTCTGTATAGCCCTGTCTGTCCTGGAACTCACTTTGTAGACCAGACTGGTCTCAAACTCAGAAATTTGCCTGCCTCTGCCTCCCAAGTGCTGGGATTAAAGGTGTGCACCACCACTGCCCGGCTATAGTTTACCTTTCAAAGCAGTGAGGTGGCAGGGTGTGTGAATTGGATCCAGCACTGGCTTGTAGGGTGTTAGATTTGAGCAAGTTGCTTAACCTTACCCAGCCCCAGTCTCCCTGTCTAATGGGGATAGCTGTGACTCTGAGGGGGGAGGGGTTATGAAGATTAAATAAGACGAAAGGGATAAAGTGCTTAGAATACTGCCTGACACCTAGGAAATGCCATATAAGTGCCTGCTTTTATGGTTGTCATAATTCACTGGATTCAGGCCAGGCAGGGAGCCACCCAAGCAGGAGACGCTAGAGCTCACGACCTGGGGGGACCATTTCTAGCCTGTGGTCTTTCCTTAGGCATTTGGGGCACGGCAGCGGCGCTGGCCCCGAGATCGCGAGGACTGTGCAGCCCAGGCACAGCAGGCTACGCAGCGCGTCCAGCGGGCCCAACAGCTGCTGCAGCTGCAGGTGTACCAGCTGCAGCAAGAGAAGCGCCAGTTGCAGGATGACTTCGCCCAGCTGCTGCAGGAGCGAGAGCAGCTGGAGCGCCGCTGTGCTACCTTTGAACGGGAGCAGCGGGAACTCGGGCCGCGGCTGGAGGAGACCAAGTGGGAGGTATGCAAGATGGGTGCCGGGCAGGCTGAAGGGATCATGCTCTACAGACGTGGCCCAGGGTAGCTGCCGTAGAGGGTCTGCCCTTCCTCATCTCTCAGGGTTGGGGGTTTCCTTGTGCCTCATGGATCTCACGGTTGTGATCTAGCGCCCACATAGCTAGTGGCCTTTCCTTCTCTGTTCGATGGGTATTGTTAATACCTCCGCTTCATGAATGAGGAAACTGAGCTACAGCCCAGGACTAAACTAGCCGTGGCGGGGCTGAGATATGAGCCCAAGACACTTGCCTTTTCACCTGGACCTGTGGGAATTGCCCTAGACTGCCCCACTCCACTCCTGCAGCCCCTGCCACCATCCCCAGGCCTGGGCAGTGTTGATACAGCGTCTGGCATAAGGATCCCGGCATTGAAAGGAAAAGATCTGGGTCTCTATTCTCCTTTAGCCTCTTATTAGAAATACAATCATGGGGGCTGGTGAGATGGCTCAGCCCTAACTGCTCTTCCGGAGGTCCTGAGTTCGAATCCCAGCAACCACATGGTAGCTCACAACCATCTGTAATGAGATCTGATGCCCTTTTATGGGGTGTCTGAAGACAGCTACAGTGTACTTACATAAAATAAAAACCTTTTGGCCAGAGCACGAGGGGGGGGGGGATATAACCATGGATGTGTCACTAGGCTTGTCTCCTGTGCTTTTGTGTGTAAACTCATGGGGCAGCATCTCCTTGAATGCCCAGCCTGCTGCCCAGTGCCCAGCACCCAGAGGCCTTACCATCTTTCCTCAATGCTTTTTACCCACAGGTGTGTCAGAAATCAGGTGAGATCTCCCTGTTGAAGCAGCAACTGAAGGAATCTCAGGCAGAGCTGGTCCAGAAGGGCAGTGAGCTGGTGGCGCTTCGGGTGGCCCTCCGAGAGGCCCGGGCTGCCTTGCGGGTCAGTGAGGGCCGTGCCAGGGGCCTGCAGGAGGCAGCCCGAGCTCGGGAGCTGGAGCTGGAGGCCTGCTCACAGGAGCTACAGCGGTACCGCCAGGAGGCTGAGCGGCTCCGGGAGAAGGCCGGGCATTTGGATGCTGAAGCATCAGGACTCCGCGAGCCCCCTATCCCCCCTGCCGCCACCGACCCATTCCTCCTGGCAGAGAGTGATGAGGCTAAGGTGCAGCGGGCAGCGGCTGGGGCAGGGGGTAGCCTGCGGGCTCAGGTGGAACGGCTGCGCCAAGAACTGCAGCGGGAACAGCGGCGAGGAGACGAGCAACGGGACAGCTTTGAGGGGGAGCGGCTGGCCTGGCAGGCCGAGAAGGAGCAGGTGATCCGCTATCAGAAGCAGCTGCAGCACAACTATATCCAGATGTACCGGCGTAACCGGCAACTGGAGCAGGAACTGCAGCAACTGAGCCTGGAGCTGGAGGCCCGGGAGCTTGCTGATTTGGGCCTGGCGGAACCAGCCCCTTGCATCTGTCTGGAGGAGATCACTGCCACTGAAATCTAGGGCTTTGCCAGGGGTGCAAGCCACGGGACCACCTGCCCTAGGATCCACTGAGCACTCCAGGTCTTAGAGCTAAAGGGCCTCTGCTGAGCCGAGGGTGCCGAGGGTGGCCCTGTAACTTGGAGAAGCAGAATCAACCCTCCGTGTCACTGTCACCCAGAGGCTCCTCCCCACTCTGCCATTTCACTTCCCTACTGTCGCCACTGCCAACCCACTCCAGCTGGGAAAGAGGCTCCCCTGTCTCCACATTCTACCTGCCTGAAGCCAGAGAGAGCCAGATGGCACCAGCTGTTTCAGATGTGCCTGCCCTCAACATGCCCACATGGAGGGGCAGGGCTAGGAATGGGGGGTGATCCCATTGTCCCAGCTCTGCAAGCCTCTTCTGGGCTGAGAGGGCTGAAGTCAGACCAAAGGAAGAACTCAGCAATGTCTTTGTTTATTTGTGTTTGTGACCAAGCCGCCCTCCCTAGTTCCAGGGTTACGGCCTCGTTTTCCACTTGTATATTTTTCACATTGTAAATTTCTTGTACAAACCCAAAGAAAAAAAATTTTAAAAAAAAGTTTTGTTTAAAAAAAAAAAGTGTGCTGGATAAAGAAACTCCAGGGGGGGTTGCTTGACATCTGTCTTCTCTGCTTGTTGGCTACTCCTACCTGTGATGGAGTTCTTAGACTAAGCCAGTAGAATCCCGGGCCCTAGTGGACCACACCATGAGTCTTGAGAACTAGAAAAGCCTTCCATCCTGTCCTTTACACTGAACCCTGCTTGAGGCTGGGGGATGGATGCAGTGACCTCGTTGAGGACTCTCATTTTAAGCTTCTCAAACTATGGTGAGCCAGGTCCATCACGAGAAACCTCACACCAGTTACAGGCTCCAACTTGAGAGTCTGTCTCCTCACTGGGAAGCAGTCCAAGGTTAGGGAATGCACATGACACAGGCTGCCCACTTGTGCGCCTTGTTCTTAGACACCAGCTTATTTTGAAAAGCCAGAGCCACCAGCATGGTGGTGCTGTCAGAAGTCAAATGGATAGGACAGAGGTGTATGGAACCTGAAGGCAGCAGGAGGACTTGTCACAAGGAAGGGCCATGGCGATCCTTAAGGATAGGGGAGAGTTTAGGGGTACTTTGAGGGACCTTTAGGGATGAGCCAAGAGCCTGCGGTAGTTGTCTAGCCTCAGTGGGAGGTAGCTGGGTGGGAATCAGAGCATCTTCCATGGGTCCATGGGCAGAGGAACTGTCAGCAGCAAGGCTCTGGTCCTTAACAGCTGGTAGGTCAGAGGATAGGGGCAGCAGGCCAGGCCCAGGGACCCTGACCACAAGTTCCATAGGTTCCCGAGCCTTGTTCCGATAGGCCCTGCGGATGGTGTCCACGGCTCGCTGGTGGGTTACCTGCTCCAGGCTTTCTCCATCCACTGCCACCAGCTCAAAGCCAGCCTGGTATAGAGGTAGAATATTCAGTTCTGAGTCATTACCACCCACCACCCAACCTGGAGGCCGTGGCCTTTCACCTCCACTAGCTAGGACACTCCTACTCATCTGGGTGCTGGGAATGGACAATAGGACTTTTGTGCCTGGTGCCGTTGGGGGCAGGGCGGGGCACAGACAATAGCCCTTTGTCCCTTGGGAGTTGAGGTGGAACAGGATGGGCCATTATCAGGCCAAGACTAGCATGAGGGGACACATTCTTCTCTAGGACTGCCCATCTTATGGGCCTGACCCCCATATCCCCAAGCCACCTCCCATGACCTGGTCTGAACATGCCCAACCAGAAGTGTCGAACAGTTTTGAACCCTGCTATACTTCAGCCCTGGGCCTAGAGAAGCTCAGCACTTCACCCACTTCCAGAGCCCCGCAGAGGAAAGCAGCACCTCCGGGAAAAATCTTCTCTATCTTCACCATGGGCTGCACCTTGGACTCGATACCCCCTGAAATGCTGATGCCTGGGGAAGATCCGAAGCAGAGTGACAGCTTTACCCCAAACCTTGAGCTCCCGGGAGGAGCCTAGAATCCCCACCCCAAATCCAGCCCTTCCTTCTTCTCACCTCTGACTTCTGTCTCAAGTCTCAATCTCCAAACAGATTCTCCAACTATATACCTTAGTACTCAGATTCCTTTCCTGGCCCACCAACCTCCCTCAAGCCCAGGAGTCCATCCTGCTTAACCAGTATTCCCAAGACTTACCCAAAGACTGCTTCATCTTGGATAGCGTAACGGTCCTCAGCTCTCCAGTGGAGACATTGCCGGCTGCTTCCAAAGCTTCCCGACCAATCCCATTCTCCAAGGGCCCTTGCCTGGCTCCCGCCTTGGCCACCTGCCCACCCAGAGGTCGTGGAAGCAGGGGCCTTGCCTTCCGAGGCCTGTGGTAACGCCCGTTGGCTGTGGTGGCATTGGTGATGGGTGCCGGGGAAGGTGAGCGCCTGCGCCCGGGAGACTTGCCTCGACCTCGGCTGTGGCTGCGGCTGCGACTGCGGCTGCGGCTGCGGCTGCAGCTGCAGCTTTGGGTTGGGGTCTGGCTCTGGTTCTGCTGAGTGTCCTCTTTGCTTGGGGGTTCTGTCAGTAGCCAGTTAGGCCTGGGAGGTCTGGGAGCCACTGGAGGTGGCTGAGGAGGAGGTGCGCATGCGCCTCGGCGAGGAGAAAAGGCATCAACTGGCACGTCTTGTAGAGGGGGAATTCCCTTGTGGTGGTGAGGACCAGAGGCACTGAGGGAGACCTTAAGGCCCCCAAGCCTCTCCCTTATCTCTCCGTCTTCATCCTCTGAGCAGCTGTTCACTGGCAGCAAGTAAAAGCCTCCACGGCTATCTGGGGAATATGGTTAAGGCTAACTGACTCTTCTTGACCATCAATCCCAGGACACCTTTCCAGACCCTGCTTCTTACTCTGGCCTGTAGGATGCCCGAGTATGTGCAAACAAGGCCTAGATTTGCTCAGGTCCTTTGTAAAGTGTCCCATGGTAAAGGGGCACTGGATCAGGTGGACAAACATGACCTGTTATTAATAGTATTTTGTATTATAATACAGTTCTACTTTGGCAGAGCCAAGGGACCAGATTTAAAACTTGTAGTTTTAAAATGTCCTGTACAGGTATGTGTGACTAACAATGGCCTGGAGGAGAGCGTTTTCCTTCCTGACTACAGTGACCCTGCTTGGAGGCAAGGATAGGAGGCCTGTTCTCCCTGTTCCAGTGTCCCCAGGGTTGTCCCCTTTCCCCAGGTTATAGGACTCTGACTGACCAGGCACAGGGGTGATGAGATGACGCTTGGGTGGCGTGTCTTGCCTGGTAGGTCTCAAAGCAGAAGGCCCCACTGATTGGAGAAGAGAGCAGGTCAGAGGTCAGACACCCCTGCCAGGCTCCCAGATAGCTCTGCCAATGAGCTCAACACCCTCCACTGCCACCCCACCCCTGGCTGGAGCTCAGGACCCGGAAGTCCCCCAACCCCACATACACTGCTGACCTGCCCTGCTCTTAAGCGCCTCAAAAGCCTCCAGCTCCACAGGCATTACCATGCTATCGAAGCGACCAAGGTCTGTGGGGGCCACCACGCTCCTGGGGGAAGACAGGGATGTGCGGTAAGATGTTCTAGGGTGCTGTCACAGAGAGGCTTCAGCCCTAGGGTCACTGGGGTTTCTTGCCCCTCCCCCTCCCAAGCCTCTCCCAACCTGATGTCTCTCAGCAGCAGCAGCTTCGCCGGCCTGTCTAGGATGGCCAGCAGGGGGCGCACCAGGTCCTCCACACCACCCTCATGGACATACTGCATTTAGAGACATCACAGGTCAGCCAGCAGCAGCAACTCTAGAGCTGGGTGTGGGGAAACATCAGGGCACAAGGGACCCTGGGGCCCATCCCGCCATCTTCACTCTAAGATAAGGTCACCCTATCCAAGGTCCACAAGTTGGTGTGTCAATGACCTTGTGGACCCCTGGAATGATCAGCAGATCTGCAACAAGTACCAACATCAACAATGGCATCTGGACAGGCAACGCGAAGCCTTTTACATGCAGTCTCTCACTTAGCAACCACTCTGAGATGATTCCTGTTTTCCAGATGAGGAATTCTCAGGGAGAATTTGCTCAAAGCCACGCAGATAAAGAAATACAAGGAAAAACAAGAACCCAAGACATCTACTTCTTGCTTGCTCTGGTTCAGGAAAAAAATGTTCAGGGGCTGGACTCCCCCACCCCCAACCCCCACCCCCAACGCCTTTGCCCAGGCCAAAGGAAGAAATGTGAGCCCAACACTAGGCTGTGAGCCTGGCTGTTCCCACCCTTTGTTCAGGGCTAGAATGGTGACCTTGGCAAACGGATGGCTCTACAGCCTTTCTAGTCAGTACCCTTCTGCCTGGTACGGCCTGGATGCCACACCCCATGGACTCTAGAAAACTGAATACTGAGAGCCAAGTTACTTGAGCAGCACACCGCCCCCTGGTGGTGAAAGGAAGGAAGACACCGTTAGAGAGCTCCTCAGATAGTTACCACGTATGGACATAGACACAGAAATAGCCGGCACTCTGGTCATCAGAATGAATCATCAATAAATATTTAGGAATGAATGAAAAAGTGTGTGTGTCCCTAACCTACAAGTATGATCACAGGGACTCACATCAACAATATGCTGCCATATATGTGAATGCCCCTCAAGTCCACAGACAGGAATTCAGCGTCTACTCTGGAACCCTGGCTGACAAAAGAGGCACAATGACAAGACCCTCCCAGAGCCTCGAGGACTCTGGTGGGAACAAGGACAGATGAGCCTCATGCGACAGTCAACCGTAAGCCGCTGCAATGGGACATTGCGAGTTTCTGAGACAGGCAAAGGATCCTAATGGGTGCCTCGGAAGCAGACACCACTCCACCAACTTTTCCGGAGTGGATGCAAGGACCAGCACGGGAGCTGGGGAGGAAAGTGTTCTGAGGGCAGGCAGGATAACGAGTAAACAAAGGTTTCACGTGGCATCAAGGGCCCGTGGAGACCCTCCAGTAGGACTGCACAGGTTGAGAACATGTGACTAGCACCCCAAAAGCTATGTGGCTCATAATTTACATCAGCTTATGTGCTAGCTCTTAAGATCCCAGAAAAGCTGGGAATGGCAGATTGGGGTGTCACACCAGGGACGGCCCAGAATGTGGGAGAAAGCAGTTTGTACTCTGTTCTGCCTCATAAGGGAAGTGCAAATCAGTAAGAGAGGTATTTAAATTCCTGGCCTGAGGGACGTGGAGGGGTGGCTCACGGGAGAGAGGAGAGATCAGAGCATCAGAATCGCTAGGGAACTTTGTCTCTCTCTCAGGCCCAGGCTCTGTTTCAGAGGGTGTGGGGTGGGGCACTGGGTTGATTGTGGACAGTAGGTTCAGCCTACAGGGTAAATAGAACCACAGTGAAATTAAGTCCTGGTTTTGAAGAAGGCTGGGGAAAAAAGGGGTGTGGGAAAGGGGCTGGTCAAAGATACAGGTGAAGAGCCCCGCCTAGTGGCCATATCTTGGAGTTGCAGCCTCACCAGAGCTGGACCTCTTAAAGTTCAGAACTGAGAATGACAGAATTTAACCCAGAGCCCTTGGCAGGACCCTCCATCTACAT